AAGTGGGATAATATTTCTCCATATGAACAGAACAAAAGTATTTGGCTAGTCGAAAAGTTCTCTCGTTAACCGGGATAACTTTTGCCCATATGAACAGGCCCTTAGACTTTTGTTTTAGAAGTAAATTTCTCATGAAAGTGAAAATTATATGCAATCAATTAATATAAAAAGAAAAATTTATATGTGGTATAAGTCATGGACATAAAGTTTGCAGGTTTGAGATTTGGTGAGTTTGGAGTGAATCAGAATACAAGTGGAGGACACTTCACAAAATGTATGCCAAAGGGGTGTCGGTATCCGTTTAAGGCTCTAATTAAGTTATGCGACCTTTCAGAACCTGCATCACTTGATGAAATGAATAAAGAATTCTGAGTTGTGTCATTTGACTGACATTAGATACTTGTTCTAAGACAATCAATTAATCATGTCGATTACGGTAGTGTTAATGTACAGTTAGAACTATCAATTCTAATTGTTTAAAATACTTTATCAGTAGAGCTGTAAGGACTCCTACACAGGACAAAACAGGTTGTATGAAATGTGCATATTGTTGCATTGTTGGCATGCATTGTACAGAATCATATATTGCTTACTATATTGCTAACCTTAGCTTCAGTTTTATTTAATGGTCATTATTTAATATGACAATTATGTTATACGGGTATGATTGCATGCTTCCCGCCACTTGCTCGTAAACAAATGCTTGTAAATTGTGATATTTGCTACCAGACTTTTAACTGGTCTTTCAAAATTATTGGGGCGGGCAGCTACTCAAAACTTTGCTAATGACAAATGACTTACCGGTATACCTTTAGAAATTGACTTATATACAGCTATTTCAATTAAGGTTGTCCCCGAGCAAAGCGGAAAAGTCGAATACGAGCACGAAAGGCTGCTGGAAATCGCTAAAAAATTAGCTGAATTTACTAGCGATTCCCAGCAGCCTTTCGAGCTTGTATTCAACTTTTCCGCTTTGCTCAAGGACAACATACCTTAATTGAAACAGCTGTACACAAATCTGTTCACAAGCTGTCACCAAGTTGTGTTCACACTAGAGGTGTGCATCGGATCGGATTGGACGTTTATAATCCGACAATTGGCTAATGTTTAAAATCCGATCCAATCTGAAATTGTCTAATCCGAATCCGATCCGAGCTTTGATAAAGAATTCCGATCCAATCCGAAGAATCCTTTAATAAAATAAATTTCTCATTCAAGTTGAAATATTTAACCAAATAAATACAAAAGCAAGAAATACATGTCAAGAAGCTGACAAAGTGATGTCCAATTGAAGTATCAAATCAATAATGCAGCGACAACCACAATAATGCTTTGATAAATGCATGGATAATTAATTCTTTTTATTTTGAATATTGAAGTCCGATCCGATCTGACTACGAAACAACTTTATCAATCCGATCCGATATGTATATTTTTGTTCCAAAATCCAAACAAACCCAATCGGATCGGATTTGGATCAGATTTGCAAACCTCTAGTTCACACTGTTTGTTCCCAGTTGTTGTAACAAGCTTGATGGCATTATCAGACTTGTTACAAGTTTGACACAAGGTTGTAACAATATTGTTATATCATGTGTATCGAATTTGTTGGAACAACCTTGCAACAAGTCTGATAATATCAACAAGTTTGTTACAAGTTGTTAACAGCTTGTTCCGAACTTGTTGACAACTTGAGACAAGCAGTGCGAACACAACTTGTTGACGGCTTGTTGGCAGACTTGCTACAAGATGTGAGATTTTTACGCGTATAACAACAGTAGCATGTTTTGCGCAAAAACACGTGGGTATACGTGTACTCGAAAGTTCAAAACAATAATAATGCACAAAACCTTGGATTTACAGCAATTTATGATCGTTTATACCTGAAGGAATGTTTCCACTAACTTCCATTTATCCTAAATAAGACAAGACGGCATGTTATGACCTTAGAGGAACGAAATTTCGGCGTATTTATATGAGTAAAAGCCTAAAATATTTTGCAAAACAATACTTTGACAGCGGTGTAAAATGTTAAAATATCATCAAACCTGTATGGTTTTTATCGGGGCTGTTACGTTATCCTTTTGTGAAGGCGCTTCATCGCCATTTGACAAAATTTGTTCCTTTTTGATGTCTTTTTCGACCATATTTTGAGCTCAATTTGCAAGAAATTCCTGCAAAATATGCATGTTCGATTCAATCTCGTGCCCGTTCGCAGGTGGGCATCCAACCTGCGAACGGGCATGGCTGGTTTCAAGTCACTGAACGAAAATGTTAACTGGATGGTTAGATTTAAATACGCACAGCATGTTAATTATTCTATCATGAGTATTTTTCGCTAAAATATATAGCAAAACCACAGAATAAAAATCAGTAACAGAAGGGCCGCTCAGCGGTGCAACGTGTCCGCGTTTTTCTATGCAAATATATGCAGTTTACTGGCGGAGCAGCCAGCCAGTACAGCGCAGTGGCGTGCTGGGTACTATTTTTCTGGGGGGGGGGGGCAGTAGGCTGTCAACCAATATGCGCCCCTATAATGTTACGCTTGATACACGAGGGCAGAAGGCACGAGCCGGGCGCCGTAGGTTGAAGGTTTGTCTACGGGGGTCCGGGGGCATGCCCCCCCAGGAAAATTTTTGAATTTAGAGTCTCTGAAATGCCATTTCCTTGACTTTGGGGGAAGACTTGACAGAAATCTGATGGTCAGGAAACGGCATTATAACGTGTCGAAATTTGAAATTTGGTTAGAATTTAGTAGTAGTACTTCAAGCGATTAATCTAATCCCAATTCTATTCTCTACTGATCTAGTTATCTGAATACATTTACAACTTTCACACCCACTTTCAAAATTCGGCGCCCCCTTTTCATTTTTGCGCCCCCCAAGAATTGCCAGCTGGGGGGGCCGTGGCCCCCCGGAAGCCCCCCCCCTGCCAGCACGCCACTGGTACAGCGTGTTTATTGGCCAGAAAATGTCATTGACTGGTTAGGAAAATGGCGGCCAACATGCGTAATGCGACATGCGCGAGGACAGAAACTTCAAAGCTTCCGAGTAAGTGGCCCTTCTATATATATCTTTATTCTATGGCAAAACATTGAAAAAAAAAATGGAATTTGGAAGGGAGGTTTGATAAAAATTTATCGAGAGTTGTAATATGTCTTCCGCCCTACCGATGATTTATCTGTTTTATCTTTACTCGGTTTGTGCTGATATATCGTCCATGCTTATCAATTACATTCTGACTGTGTCATCCTAACAGGAAATTACTGCTAGCCTAAGAAAAGATTTGCATGAGATTTTCCATAAGACCGGAATAATGTTTTGACGTAAGCCGGCAGCGTAAATCTCACTATGACGTCAGAGTTTGTTCTGGATGACGTCATCAGAAGGATACAAAAAATCGTGAATGTTCTCATCGTTGACCTCAAAAAGTCTTGTCATTCAAAGAAGTGAAGAAAATAGCAAAGGAAACATTGTATATTGCGCAAAGGTAAGATTAATAAAATAACACTTTATTTAATTAATATCGATTACAGAATTGCCCAATGATTCAGCCATGAAATGGCGCTCGACAAGCGACAGCTAATTATAGTGATTGGTTTCTGGACAAGAGATTTCGCGAAGCGGGAATCGGGATTTTGAAATACTTTTTTAGGATTTGTCTTTTTTTACAACCGAGTTTATACAACCTGCCCCAGACGTAAAAACGCGCAAAAAAGGTGTTGCAGATTTGCAAAAATGTTGTAATTGTCAAGTCCGGCATAACCAACCGCTATGGCCTAGCCATTGCTCTAAGGAAAGGCTGTCACCCCCCCCCCCCTGAATATATTCAAAATGGCTGGCTTGATTTAGACAAGAGGTCGAATGCAGTGGTGTCTAAATTACTTTGAATATGTACTCAGACGAGTAAAAGAAGAAATAATTAACAATATATAAAACGACTTGAGTAAGAGTAACAGTACTGGAGGAGGCAAAACGTATTTAAATAAAACGTCTAATATAATAATATACAATATCATCACCCCTGTACATATACCTAATATACAATATTTCACGGCATGGTCTACTTTCCAGACCCCGTTGAAGATATAAGCAGTGGCGGCGCCAGGGGGGGCAAGGGGGGGGGGGGCAAATGCCCCCCCCCAAATTATTTTTTGCCTCCCCATTTTGCCACCCCCAAAAAAAATTATTAGTCACTAAGAGCGACTAAAGGCTACACAAGCGTTCTGTCGTTATCGGAAAATGTATGGCTTATAAGTTGTCATTACTCATTAGTGAATGCGCGTATACATGAAACTGTTTTTTACAGTTTCAATATTAGTTTGTAAATCTCTGAATGGTAAAACTTGCCAATACTCCAATAATGCGTTTCAAAAAAAGACAAAAAAGCTTTAGTTTTGCAGAGTTAAATTCTCAAACGTGTAAGGCAATAATAAGATGAAAGTATCACGAAATTATTTGAATAAACCACATCGCATATATGGGGGCGAATGTCCTAAAGAGGGGCGATATTCCTAGGGTATTCGCCCCACCCCCCTGGGAGGCAATATTCCTAGGAATATCGCCACGTTTTGAGGGGGGGGGGGAGAATTTCCGGGGGGGGGGCGACCTTTTTTAAAATTCTATCTTGCCCCCCAAAATTTGAGTTGCCCCTCAAATGCCCCCCCAAATTTGGAAGCCTGGCGCCGCCACTGGATATAAGAAATCCATTAAATAACCCAATACTTAAAACTAAGCCACAAATAAGAGATACCAGACGCATGATGTAGAGGTCCTATTACCTATCCCAAAAATTAAAATAAATCCGGAATAAATCACGTTTTAGTCACTTAATTAAACAAAAGTTAGAAAGTAACGAAATACTTGGCCACAAAATGAAAATAACAAAGTAAAGCGTTATACTTCTAAAAAACGACTTCGTTCCAAGCAGGGGCGAAACTAGCACCGAAAAGGGTTTTTTTCCGAAAATTCCGAAAAAGGGTTGAAAAAATTTTTCCGGACATAAACCAGTTAAATTAAGGGTCAAAAAATTTTTCGGACAAATTCCTATTAATACATGCATGAAACTCTCATTTTTTGACCAATGTCTGTAAAATTTAGGTCTATAAATTCTATTCAATTCCCTCTGGAAGCCCTGGAAGCTATTGCCCTGCCAATCCAGATGATTTGCCCTGCCAATCCAGATGATTTGTGCTTTGGGGGGGGGGGGTGTCACACTCCCCCACACACCCCTCAAGTTTCGTCCCTGGTTCCAAGTCAAATTACTCCAGAAAAAGTATACTTTGTACTCATAATCAAGTACAGTAAAGAAGTACATTTACTTCGTTACTGAACCCCACTTCTCCATACTGTAGATTTACGAGTGAGAACATATATATGAAGTCGCGATCGTACATTGTGATGAACTTCAGTCTCGGTACAAGACACTAACAATCTCAACTTACAAAAACAGTATATGGATAAATTATATGGCATTTAAGTATATAATTAGATTACTGACAAAAATATCCTGCCAAGATATTTTGTTCAAAATGCGGCTGGCGCTGCATAGCGCATGCCGGACACTCAGTTCGAATGGAAAAAGTTTGCTTTGTTACATGTCAAAATAGTACTCATAATCAATCTCGTCGATCTCGGTAGAAAACACTGACATTCTCAAATTCCACAATGCTTTTCGAAATTTTGAACAGCACATGGATAAATTATACATGGCATTCAAGTATATAAGATGACTGACAAAAGTTTCCTGCAAGAATTAAGACTGAATTTCCTGCGAAGATATTTTGTTCAAAATGCCGTTGGCATGCCGGACATTCAGCACGGATGGACTCAGCTCGCGATTTGTAAAATGTAGTTTCGGTAAAACGTGGACTGAGCCCATGTTTTGTAAAAGGTGGACTCAGTTCCTGGACGTGTTTTACAAACCACCACTGACTGAGTCCATGATTTCCGAGCCCAGTCCATGTTTTACAACGTGCTCCTGGTTTAGCTCTAAATATCAGAATTTCCATCTTCATTGAATTAAACCATTCAACATATGCTGTTTGGGTGATAGGCCACTTGGTGATTGGGAATTATTTACGTCAGATGACGTCATGATTAAGGGCACCTTACCCCTCATCTGTCTACAAAGGACAGCCGTGCTATATTTTTAGAGTAAACGGCTGATAGGTCAAGGTAAACGCTTCGTGTTACGTAATGTTTTGTTGCAGGATATTCCTAATACAATATTGTATAATATAAGATCTGTTCGGGTCAATTCAGACACAAATGGCGGCTTATTTTAGAGCGACGACTGCGTTTGAGATCTGTTTTCAGTTATTTCAGAATTACATTCTGGTTAAATTGATATTCTGCGCTACAGATGCTAAAAACGTCAGCTTATAATACACACATGACCCCCACGTTTGAGATTATGCTATTATGTACATATCACATATTCTATATTGGCGATAAAAGTTTCCGGCCTAGTTATTTACAAAAGATCTAAATCATAATTAGCGTCTTATCTTCACGCTCTATGGCTTCCGATCCCGAGAGGACTTTGCCTGAATAGCGCCTAATTACTGCAAAAATCCGCTTTACTAACTTTTTCGAAAATCCTCCCCAAATTTTCAAACAAATCCCGCGAAATCCTGCCAATTGGAAAATCCGAAAATCCTCC